AAATTTAAAATCAGTAAAGTTTTTTTTTCAGTGGCCCTGATCCTCTTCTGTACATTTGGCTGTTATGTATTTCAGAAATATAAAATAATAATAATTTAAGAAATATAAGAAAAGTCTAGTCAAACAATGCGACTGAAAAGGTAGATAAATCTGGCATAATGCATACTTAAACTATGGTAAAAGAGAAGCAGAAAAGGGTGGGATCAAACTGAAAAAAAAAATAGTATTTAATTTATCTTTACTTGAACGGGAACAAAAAAAATGTACACCCTTTTATATAACAAAGATGTTTGTCGTAGCCTTTGGTCCTGCAGAGAGGAGTTTGTCCATTAAAAGTTTGGAACCAGCTAATTAAAACTAAAAATATCAGGTGGAAAAAAACATTTCAAATAAAAAGCATTTCAAAAGGATCTATTGTGTTTCAGGCTATTTTAAAATAAAACAGTTTTTTATTTCCTTTATTCCATATTATAGATTTATTTAGATGTTTTGCTATTAAAATGATTTTATTAAACAAATCACTTGAAATCTTTTTTGTAAATGACAATCTCTGGCATATAATTCAAAAATGAAAATAATAAATTGTAACTTCTGCTACAGAATAAGCAAATATTAGCGCCCACACTCCTTACGGTTTGCTGTCCTGTATATTTTTCCCTGCTTTAAACATCTGATTGTAAATAATTACAGATAAACAAGCTTTGCCAAACTGAGAGATATAATATGCAGGGTACCTTGAGGAACAGATCATAAAACCTCAGATTTTTTTTAACACAGTAGTTCTTATATTTATATATGTGATTTTTTCTTATGCTGTTTCTACAATACAAGCATTAGAACCCCGATAAGAACGTACCTTCCAGTTTTGCATACTCTGAAAGGCGCTGGTAGTTGACTATGGCAGCCTGTTCCAGACACTTCCTGATCACAGCTTTCACTTCTTCTTGTGGGACTGGTGTCACAACGTCTTTCATTAGAACCTGACCAAAAGCAACACATAGGTAACACGTTTAAATCCTTTCACGCAAATTCATGCAAATGCTGTTGCAATAAAAATGTAATGGCATCCCATAGCAAAAAGTAGTTTATTCAAGTATACTAAAAGTGCACTAATTTCATACTTAAAATCAGGCAGTGCTAAACTATAATTCATATACTTAACAATAGTATAGCCAGGTGTACTTGACTATACTATTGTTTACTTTATTGTTTACTAAAGTATACTTTAGTAAACTTAAAAATGTCCCAATTTAGTTTGAAGAAGTATTACTTTAGTAATACTTCAAGTGTACTAAAAGTACATTGTTCGGTAAACTTTCTAAACTTATACTTATACTTAACTATTCTTAATAGAATTTACTTGAAGTATACTACTTTTTGCTAAATACATTTTCTCCCAATTATCTCAGTGGAATCTTGGACATGTTAACATTGATTGGTATTGAAAAATTCAAAGAAAAAAAAAAAATATATATATATATGCAGGTAAAAGCCAGTAAATTAGAATATTTTGAAAAACTTGATTTATTTCAGTAATTGCATTCAAAAGGTTTAACTTTTACGTTATATTTATTCATTGCACACAGACTGATGCATTCAAATGTTTATTTCATTTAATTTTGATGATTTGAAGCGACAACAAATGAAAATCCAAAATTCTGTG